AAACGAGTAAAGCAAACAAGCAAAATTTTTTGTTCCCAGAATACAACGTTTTGTATGTAATTTGTAGAACAATTAAAAACACACATTCTCTCAAAATTTGAACAAATTGCAATCATTTTGAGCCGACTTATAGCTCAACTCCTGAAGCATACCTTTTATGCTCCAGTGAGCACATCTCAAGAGCAAGTGTTCCAAAACGCTCCAAATTTTTTTTCGTATACATTTGGATCTACACCAAACATTTTTCATCACAAAGCCAATCTTTTAAAAAAGTCTGACGGAAAAATTGTTTTTTCTTCCGTAGTCATCGTCACGTCTGTGAAGATTCAGAAGACGCGAAATTGATTGAGTGTCAAAAAACTTATATGATGTTTTGTTTTTAACAACTGAAGTAACTTTTAATTTGACTTTCAGATAGCTTTGTTTTTACGCATAAATTAATTTAGGGTTCTAAGCTTATTTTTTAAGGACTGAGCCTACTTTTCTTTCCGTAAAACCGGTACTAGAAGAACCGGCCTTTCTATTGTTCCAAGGTACCTCCGGAGGGCCTTTCAATTAGAGGGGCCCTTCTATTTTTCTGGCTAGTTTTTTTCCGAAACTTTGCATTAAAAAAATCGACGAAGTTTCGTTCAAAATTCATGAAAATCTGCCAATTTCGACCAAAATTTAGCAAGATTTGCATCGAAAAATAGAATCTCAACAAATTTCTATTAACTTGTGGAGTTGCTGGAATATTTTCCATTGAAAAATTACGGAATTTTTTGATTTCAAAACACATTTTGAAGAGCGGTCATTTTTCACAGAGGGCCTTTCTATTAGGAGGGCCCTTCGATTATAGGTAAGCCTGCTTTTTAACCGTAAGCCTGCTTTTTAAAGGCTAAGCCTACATTTTAGAAGCTGAAAATAATTTTTAATGGCTGATTTTACTTTTAGGGGCCTTGTTTTTAGTATATCCCGATTTTGGTTGCTATTTTTTTTGTATTTAATACTGATTCGACTACTTTCTCTCTATCCTTTGAGGGGAATAAATTCACTATAATTTTTCTCATTTTACGTTTCTCATTTTATCATTGGCTCTTATTTCTTTGAAATGTCACGGAAAAAACTATGTGAAACAATTTCCTAAAAAAGCTCAGCGTGAAAAGTGCGCCCCTGTTGTGAAGATACGATTACTCACTCCTGTCAACTGAATTGAACTCCGGTCCATCCTGCCAACTGCCCTGAAGTCCTGCCAACCGTCCTGCCACTCCTGCCAACTGCTCCGGAAGTATTCCTCGAAGATTTGAGCAATTGGAAACCAAACAGCTCCTGAAACTTAAATATTCAGGTTTTTAAACTTTACTTTTTCCTCACCTTTCATTTTATTGTGCTGCTCTTGTCTCGATTCAAATCCGGCCAATCCTGGAAGCTGTTCTAGAAGATGTGCGAGAAGTACTGGAAGTCGGTAGATCTAAAAAACCCAGGAAGATCCTGGAAATTCCTGCAACTTGAACGTTGGAAACTATGTACTGATTTCCCCTTAATTTTATGAATCCTGGATTTTGCCAACATTAATTAAGCTTTCACGGAGGTCACACTAAAAAGTTTGAAAATATAAAAAAAATATCAATTTTCTTTCAATATTTTCCACTCGATCTATGTCACTGACTGCGAGTTCACGACGAATATTACCGTAACACGCTAATAGGTCGTTCCTAATTTTGAACTTTGAGCCAATTTATCTCCTTTTCTCTGAAAGATTTCAAAAAAGTGGTCAACTAACAAAATGTTTATCATAATATCGAAAATATTTTGTCAGTTGACCATTTTGTGATATCTTTTACAGGAACCCAGATATATGAGCTGAAAGTTTTAGGTTAGAGTGATGCTCTATTATAGTGGTTACGGTAGTTCTGTGAAAGTTGTTGACGTAAATACTGATAGTTTTCAACCCCAATGTTTGTTTAACTTACTAGGGAATGACTCACAGAAGATGTGGAGTTATGGGACGAGACCTATATCATTCGAAAGAGGATGAAATTTCATTTTCAAATATATGCTCAGTTTTTGCGGCGGCCTCCGCTAACTCGAGAAATTTAGGTCAGAAGTTTTCAGTAGATTTTGCACTGAAATGCATACGTGAACGCTTCCACGTCCTCATTTCTTTTATACGCTTTGAAGAACCATTGAAAACAGCAGTGGGATGGTTCAGTGGTAAAGCGGCGGGATGGGGAAATGGTACTCTATGGTTCGACTCCTTCATAGTCGAAACTCTTTTTTTATTTTTTGTTGGTTTTTTATATGACCTGTTTTTGAGCTCAAAAGCTGTTTTCAGCAGTTTTCCATACTCTAAACACCTTTGGCATCTTGTCAAATACAAATTAACCAAGTTTTTGGAAAAAAAATTTCTGAAGAAAATTCGCATGTTTTCATGATCCATACACCTCTTTTCAAATTTTCCGATTTTTTTATCCTTGGCGGGATTATTCCAGTA